AGAGAGAGAAATGGTTGTGTGTAGGACAAAGGTTTCTCAGTTACTAGAAAGACAGCACTAGAGTGTTAAAGAGTCGTGTTTTGTTCCAGGTGCTGCGACCGTACACCTTCAACTCCAACCTGAAGGTGTGGGAGTTCTACATGGAGGAGACTCTGTCGGAGGGCCCGTCGTACGACTGGGAGCTGAGGGGCCGGCAGGAGCGAGTCGCCGAGGAGACGCCGGAGAAACCCGACAGCGCCGGGCCCAAATCTCAGCGCCGCATCGTGTGGCCGTGCTACGACTCGCTGAGCAAAGTGGTGCCCGACGCCATCACCAAACTGCTGCAGGACCTCCAGAGCCTGGAGGCGGAGCTGGGGCAGACGGCCGACAAGTGGAAGGACACCTGGGACAAAATCAAGAGCACGCAGAGAACAGAGACCAAACTGGAGAGCAAGGTGAAGCAAACATGTCTCTATTGGTTACTAAACCCTGACTGAATGGATGATCTAAAGACACAGATAATGGGGAATGCTATCCACTGACATCTTGTGGTGAAAAAGCAGGATGCAGTTAGGGACTTAGGCCCTGTGTCCATAAAAGTAAACACTCACTGGCAGCAACTTCAATTTTACGCCCGCCTGATCCACTCTAACAAATGGTCTTTTCTCATTTCATTTCATTTCAAACCTTTATTTAACCAGATTGGGAGACCTGCAGCAAATAGGTTCCACATGAAACATCAAACAATAGAGGACATCATACATTATATTTACAGGTTACATTTACATAGTTATCGACATTTACAAGTACCCATAGTATCAACGAGCATTTCATTTAGCCTAGCTTTAAAAACATGCAGAGGAATGAAATTGCTCAGTTTCAATTCTTGCTGAAGATTGTTCCAAGCAAGTGGAGCTGCGCACATAAAAGCTGTCTTACCTAAGACCGTCCTTGCTCTTGGCACATCTAACAATACTACATCATGCAATCTCAGACAATAGCTGCTTGCAACTCTCTGTGTTATCAGAGAGCAGATATAATACGGGAGTTTACCCAACAAAGCTTTATAAATAAACGTGTACCAATGACTGAGCCTCCATACAGTACGTACTTTTCTGTCTTTAGTATGAAAGCTTCCGCCTGAAAGACGTGGTCAAAAATGTAAAGATTCTGGCGTTAAGAAAAAGGCGCTATGGTGCATGTTTTAGATCCATTTTCAGCACCACAGACCGTTTTTTAAAGTGTACTAAAGTTGACTTACCAGCAAGCTATGGTTTGTTGTCAGTATGGGATGTAAGGCAAACTGCAGAAGCCTTCATGATACAAGTAGGCACTTTATATTTCATAGCTGCTACATTGTACTGCCTTGTGGTAAATGCTTGTATGCTGCTTGCCATGTATATAAATGTTATGTTCATAAATGTTGTATGTGACGGGACTACGGATGGAAACTAGCTCAATGCTAAAATCCGGCTATTTTACATTTAATAGCATTATTTTGTTTAAAATGTTCATTAATGTGCACTGTCCCGGTTCAAATAAACAATTAAATAAATAGTATATCACATTGAGATCTTGCCTACGCGATACCTCCCTCCTTTTGTTGTTGACAACATTCCCATGGATTCAAACTCTCAAACCTGACTCTCCTCTCTTCCTCCCACAGCCGTCGTTCTCCAGCTCCCTCCTGATGTCGTCCAACCTGAGCCACCAGCGGCGCTCTCAGGGTGTGTACCTGCAGGAGAGCGGCGTGGGCTCCTCCATCAACCTGGCTCTGGACTGCGAGGCGAGCGCCACCTCCACCCCGGTGCCTGGGAGGCCGAGCACCAGCACCCTGTACAGCCAGTTCCAGAGCACCGAGAGCGAGAACAGGTGGGGCACCCAGAGGAGATTAGAGAGGATAACATACACAAGGGACAGTTGAACTATGCATATTCAGAATCAGAACACCTTTATTATGGCGCAGTTCCACTACACGGTCGGCCTCGGCCACGCTCGGTACGGCTCGGTACGGCTTGGCCTTAACAGGGCCGACTCACTTCATGCTGCGCTTCCATTACAGTTTAGGAACTGGGGTAGTTACTATAGTAACGCAGTGTAGGCGGAGCCGTGACGTCATCTTCAACGAGAACTCCAGAAACACAACACAGCCGTTAGCTGTTAGCACTCAGAGCTCACAGCTCCTCATATATGTTCAGAAACTAGACAAAAGTTAAACAAGTACAAACCACAGACTGTCTGTGTCATGGCGAATACAGTCGCTGGTTTATTTATGTCTGTATAGGCCGTTGTTGTGAGTGTGGACGGTCGGAGCATATACTGCGTTAGCTTAGCCAATCTCCATCTAGAAAACACGTATTTTTAAAAGGTTTTTTCGCCGCCGTCTGTCTGCAGACTTGCCAAAGCATTAAATTCATGGTTTTTACTAACCGGGTATCAGTATGTTGTACTTCGGCATCATTTTGAAACGTGTATTACAATTAAATCACGGTCAAATATGTCCATCTTGTTTTGTAGTTCTAGCCCCTCTTGCCAGCGCTCCTCTCTCTAGTTTAGCATACTCAGCCCAACTCAGCCCGTTTGTGGCCCTCGATAGAACCACAATTTTCTCGGGCCAGAAAAGAGGTGAAAAAGTGGCCCCGCGCCGTGCCGGAACTAGGCCTAGTGGAAGCGCAACCAAAAACGGGCACGGCACGACACGGCACGCTTAAAGCGAGCTCCGCGCTGTAGTGGAACTGCGCCATTAGTCCACAGAGGGGACATTTTCAGTTTCATTTTTAGCTAGATTTGAGTGTTTGCTGCTTTTGAGATTTTAAGAGAGTTTTTATTTATTTAGCAGTGTGATGTTTTCGTGAGAGCAAGATATAATGTCTAAGGGTTATGTATATCTACATATAAATACAGAATACATGGTTGGTGAACTATAAAAAACAAGGCAATGTCACAAAACAGTCCAAAATATTTCTGAAATGGAAATCAAATAGTATTAAAAAGTTAAAAATACACATTTCCAGTAAGAAATATAATGCAGGATATTATTGTGAGACACTAAACCCCAAATTGCTCCTGAGGGGATTGTCCACAGTACGTCTAACAAAGGACATGTAATATAATTCAATATTAATACATACATAGCCACAGGCACAGTTCAATTATACTTTATAATACTGAGATAATTTTCTAGCAACCTTTTCAATTGTACATCAGAATTTTCAAGAATGATATGGACGGGTAAAGAATTCTTGAATGAACTTCTTCCCACGCCTTTTCGGATGTGTAATTAGGTAGATCATTTGTTTATATATCATTTGTAAGTCAATAATATTTGTGTTTATCGATTTGATACTGCTTAAGTTTGGACAGTATCATAATTCTCATGTTTCATTTCATTATTATTTCTTTTTGTATTATTGTTTTACACGATCAAAATAAATCAGATCAAATCCAAACTAGTTGTCCCTGTTAGAAACCCTCCCTCTGCTCAGCTGTCAGATGAATCCCTAACATCTCAAAACGTTCCCTCTTCTCCCATCAGGAGTTTTGAAGGCATCTTGTATAAGAGAGGCGCGTTGTTGAAGCCATGGAAACCTCGGTGGTTTGTTCTGGACAAAACCAAACATCAGGTAAGAAAGGGGGGGACTTTAATTTGATTTAAAGCTCACCTATTATGCAAAATCCACTTGTTCATGTCTCTTCTACATCAACATGTGTCCCCTCTTCTTCATGTCTCTTCTACATCAACATGTGTCCCCTCTGCTTCATGTCTCTTCTACATCAACATGTGTCCCCTCTTCTTCATGTCTCTTCTACATCAACATGTGTCCCCTCTGCTTCATGTCTCTTCTACATCAACATGTGTCCCCTCTTCTTCATGTCTCTTCTACATCACATGTGTCCCTTCTGCTTCCAGTCTCTCTTCTACATCAACATGTGTCCCCTCTTCTTCACTGTCTCTTCTACATCAACATGTGTCCCCTCTTCTTCATGTCTCTTCTACATCAACATGTGTCCCTCTTCTTCATGTTCTTCTACATCAACATGTGTCCCCTCTTTCTCATGTCTCTTCTACATCAACATGTGTCCCCTCTTCTTCATGTCTCTTCTACATCAAATGTGTCCCCTCTTCGTCATGCTCTTCTACATCAACATGTGTCCCCTCTTCTTCATGTCTCTTCTACATCAACATGTGTCCTCTCTTCTTCATGTCTCTTCTACATCAACATGTTGTCCCCTCTTCTTCCATGTCTCTTCTACATCAACATGTGTCCCCTCTTCTTCATGTCTCTTCTACATCAACATGTGTCCCCTCTTCTTCATGTCTCTTCTACATCAACATGTGTCCCCTCTTCTTCATGTCTTTTCTACATCAAAATGTGTCCCCTCTTCTTCATGTCTCTTCTACATCAACATGTGTCCCCTCTTCTTCATGTCTCTGCTACATCAACATGTGTCCTCTCTTCTTCATGTCTCTTCTACATCAACATGTGTCCCCTCTTCTTCATGTCTCTTCTACATCAACATGTGTACCCCTCTTCTTCATGTCTCTTCTACATCAACATGTGTCCCCTCTTCTTCATGTCTCTTCTACATCAACATGTGTCCCCTCTTCTTCATGTCTCTTCTACATCAACATGTGTCCCCTCTTCTTCATGTCTCTTCTACATCAACATGTGTCCCCTCTTCTTCATGTCTCTGCTACATCAACATGTGTCCTCTCTTCTTCATGTCTCTTCTACATCAACATGTGTCCCCTCTTCTTCACATCTCTTCTACATCAACATGTGTCCCCCCCCCCTCTGTGGAAAGAGACTCTGAAAGTTTCAGGAACAAAGATTCTCTGCTCTCTGCTGCAATGATCTGTTTGGTGCTTCAGCCAATCAGAGACAGTTCTGTATATATCTGAGACCTGTGATATATTGATGAGAAACAGGATAATAGGGGACCTTTAATGATGGAAATCTAAAAAGAATCCCCCTGTTAGAGCAGCATGTGTGTGTGTCTATATAATGTTCTATAATAACGTACAATTATGTATCTGCCTACTAAATACTGTTAATATTTACATTATTTATGTGACCATCTATGTTTCCTGTAGATATTTAATTGCTCTTTTTACAGCACTGTTAGTGTATAGTTTTATTATTATTGTGCTGCTGTGTTTATTGTATTTTTGGGATAAATAAAGTCTTATCTTATCTTATCAGCTGAGATACTACGAGACTCGGCAGGATAAAGAGTGTAAAGGCGTGATCGAACTCGGCGACGTAGAGTCTGTTTATCCGGGAACGTCGGCCATGGGAGCGCCGAAAAACATCGAGGAGAAAGCCTTCTTTGATGTGAGTTCATCTTTTAGCAGCGTGACCTCGCATGACATTAGATAATAAGATGGTAATTAGTGTGTGAAAAATGCATATGTTAGATAAGTGTAGGGTTTTTTTTAATGGGTCAATAATGGATTTTATATATTTACATTACTTTCTTGGAGCAAGAGACAATTTCTGTTACTATTCTGTTAGTTCATTTTGTCTATCATCAAAAAACTACTTTTCCCCCAAGAAATCTAAGTGACATCCACAAAATGCTTGTTTATTTCAACGAATAATCCGGAAACTTGGATCTAAATCCAAGAATTGGTTATCAAAATGGCTGTTTATTATATTTCTGACACATAAAATGCATCAATCAACAAATAATGCAGGCTATCGGTTAGAAAATCTAAGATGTTCATTTTAATTTGATAGAAAACAGAGCTAAGCAGGAAATGTTCATATTTTTAGGAGACAGACAGACAGACAGACAGTGTGTGTGTGTGTGGGTGTGTGTGTGTGTTAATGTTATTCCCTTCTTCTTTCAGGTCAAGACGACCAAGCGAGTTTACAACTTCTGCGCGCAGGACAGCCTGAACGCTCAGCTGTGGATGGACAGTGTGCAGAGCTGCCTGTCAGACGCCTAAAGAGGAGGCGGGACTCTTTAATGAACCAATGAGCAGTGCTGTGGGCACCTGACAGACATCTCTGCGGGCCAATCACAGCGTGGCAGAGAAAGAAACAGTCCCTTTCACCACTTTAAGCTCTGCTCCGTTCGCTAGTGTTGAACTAATAACTTTGCGTCACAACGTTTCAGTGTTTTTGTTATAAAAAAAGGAGAAAAACAAGGAAAAAAAACAAAGTCCCTGATGAACCACTCGCTGTCGTGTCACCACGGAGACGCAGCCTCTCACCCCCCCCCCCCCCCCCCCCCGACAGCCGGACCACGAAGTATGCACAAAGACGAATTGAAGCATTTCTGGAGGAGCCTAAAACCGATCTAAAAAATGGACCAAAACCTGTAGTCGACCTGCCAGCTGTGTAACCACGGAGATGTTGAAACCCCAAAATGTATAGTACGGGTCCCCAGCATATAGAAACTCCTGGATGCTAACTTGCATATGTTGGGCAGTTAGCGTTAATTAGCATATGCAGACAATAGTTTGAGACAATTTTGGAGGTTATTGAGGATGTTTCTGACATTTTTACGATTAAAAAAAATTGCAGTTTTAACCAGAAAGTGGCCATATTTGTATTCCTGGTGGGCTGATTTTGACTACTTTTGTGACCATTGGATATAGGGAGGACAAGATGACAATTGTTACGTTCACTTCAAATGACCCAGAGTCCCCTAAGACTTCAAAATCGATCCAAAATGTATCAAAATCAGCCCACAGGGAGTCAATATATGGCCATTTTCCGAAATTGATTCAACATCCTCAATAACCTCCAAAACTATTGTCTCCATTTGCTAATTAACGCACGAATGCTATTAGTGCAACTTGCCCTAAGTTAGCATCCGGACGTTTCTATGTGCTGGAGACCCGTACTATACATTCCTATCATAAAACTTTGGGGTACTCAACATTTCCGTGTTCACAACAGGACTCAGACGATGAGGAACACACACTTCTGAAAGCAAACACCCGTCGTTCCTCTCGTTGCCTCTCACTGCCTGATGGAGGAAATCAAGAGGGGGGGAAATGACGGAGGAGGAGCTTTTCAACGACGGTTCATGAAGGATTTCCCTTTTTCTTTTTGTCATATTTCAAAAATATGACTCGGAAAGATGCAGTGTGTGGGCGATGAAGATACTGTGAAGGCCATGAATGAGTCGCAGAAATCAAAGTGATTTTGGGGGGGGGGGGGGGTAAGGGGGAGTTACTGTCAGGTATTGAGTGTGAACTTTCACTAAAAGTGTTTACAAAGTAGACGTAAATCCTCCCTCACTGCGCTCTGTTTTTACTTAGATCAACCACTATCGACAGATTTAAGGGACGCTGACGGAAGAAAGGGGGATTTATTTTATTAAAAAAGGTGGGAGATTGAGAGGAGGGATATCATGAGATGCTTCGGAGAGACAATGTTTTTTTTTTTAAAGATGGATATTGTCAGGAACTGTCGGGAAAGTCGGGTATTTTTCCACTGAGTGAGTTTTCAGAGAAACTTGAGAGAACAATTCTACGTCTGTAAATCAGACGTGAGGGTAAAGCAGATTATATTAGCTACTGGTGCTAATTTGGTTATTAACTAACATCTTATCAAACTATCAGTTCAGTTGGTATTTGGTTATGCATCATGAACAGCTGTTTAGTTAGCCGTTAGAAGCTAACCCACGAGCTACTCTTCATCTGAAAGCTAGTGAACTGATATGAGTAAAATCACATCTGGAAAACTGTACCATACATCTTTGAATCTCCAAAACATCCACATTTCAAGAGCTTAGAAATACAACCTTATGTTCTGCTTGGTGGCATTTTAATTTGGTTTCAAGAGATGCTTTGGTGTGCGGTTGTATGAGTTTCTTGTATGACTTACAGTAGATGGTGGTCTGCACGCTAGATTTTGAATTCTCACTCACTTCACATTTGTAACGGGTTAACTGACACGGCTTTTTCTGTCTTTGAATCGTTGAGATAATCAGTCATATTGTCCGCTTCAGTTCCCGTCTGACACAGATTGTATTATCACACGGTTAAAAGAGTTTAAATTTCACACACTTGTTTATTTTAGCTGCTTCCCCTTTAGGAGCCATCTACTGTAGGTTAAACAAGGACTGTGGACACGTGCAAACTCACTCTCAGAGCTTTCTCTTGTAATATCTCTGAGGATTTGAAGCTGCTTTCACATGATGCGCCATTTTGTTTCTGGTTGTTTTGGACGCTACGTTCATCTGTAATCTGATTGGTTGCTCGTAGAAAGGTCAGAGGTGAACGCAGCTTTAATCAGAACAGCTGATGAAATGAACTCAGTGTGAAAAATACCTGACGTCTCCTCAAAGGATGCTGGGATTTAGAAAGTCACGTACAGAAATCTCCCTCACTTAAACGCGTCACTTTTTTTATATCCATGGTTTGTCAGACTGCCCCCACACACACACACACACACACACACACACACACACACAGAAACCACTTGTTAACACACACCCTGCTATGTAAAAAAAAAACGGTTCTACTGCTGTCTTTAAACTTAAAAATTGTAGATTTTTTTTTGTGTCTAATAACTCCTTTGTATATACTACTCCAGATTTGTATGTAACGTTTATGGTAGTAATTTATTTAACTCGTCTCCTCAGTAAGAAAGTTCCTCGAGCACCACTTTATTTTTAAAATTAGGAATTCAATGTGCCATTTGTTTATTCTGTATTAATGTGACTAAATGTACAATTAAAACCCCTCAATGTTTTTTTTCTTTTGTTAACACGGTTGTCCTTAAGCTGGTGTTAGAGGAGGTGTTTTTAAAATGTTCTGGATGTAGCGCGCAGTCGTTAAATGTCAGACGTGAAGTTTTTTCCCCGCTGCCGGGTTCTGCACCTCGCTGGCTTTTATTAAAAGAAATAGGAGAATATGGTGTGTTCACAAACATCAGGTTGCAATCACACACACACTCTCCACTCCTACTCCACATTTGAGATTAAAAAAACACTTGTAATCCACTTTCTAAGTCTGATTTAAAAAGAGAACCGTCTCCTCTGAGGTTTTCCATTTGTACAAACGGGGACGTTTCAGCAGCTGATTTTTTGGATTATTTGTTTTAATTAACATCAATGTTTCATTACCTGCTAACTCACAATCTACATCATGTTCCTAGACTGCATGAAGAAATGCAACGAATGCTTTCACCGCTGTATACAACATGAGGTGGTGATGCACTTCTTGGGAATGATTACAGATGAAAAACATGATCGTATTAAGAGCTTTGTTTTGATCAGACTTAGAAAATGGTTTATCAGCAAAAGAAATTGGCCTTCAGGGCTTCCGTAGTTTTAACTTTAACCAGACACTCATTAGACATTTGATTTAATGACGTGGATATAAGACATTTGATGAGCTGACACTCCAACATGTTTTGCTTAAAAATACAATTCAACGATTAGAATGGATTTGAAACATGTCTCAAAATACATTATCAGCTGGTGATATTTCCGTATTCTCACGTGTAAAGGCGTTATCAGTCTGTTGTGTTCACGCTGTTTACAGACTGAATCACCGCTGTGTTGTGTATTGGAGAAACATTTAGACGCAGTTTGCTGGAGGACTAATTAAATACATCTCGATGACGCTTCGTTAAGATAAAGGAGATTAAAGTGAACCCGGCTGAGGGGAAACACGACGCCTGCTTCCAGTTTTTACTCATCTCTCTACGGCTACATTAACAACATCCTTTTTATTTATTTTTATATTTTTTAATTAGAAATTACTTTCTGAGCCGGGTTTTGTGGTCAATCATGTCAATATAGTTTTTAGAATCCAAATAAAAACTGTTGGTTTAAATGTTCGTGTGTGTGTGTGTGTGTGCGTGTTGATTATCATACTAGTGTTAGTGCCTCATCCTACTTACAGTCAAGTTTAATTTACTATTTAAAAGGGTTTCAATTAGGCCCCGTCCACACGGAGACGATATCAGTTGATTCCGCTAACGTTCTCTATCGTATATAGACGGTTCGTCGACATGGAAACGCTTATAAAGAGATAACTATAACTAACCTTTGATGTTATTGTCCTGTCTAAATTAGATTAGTTTTAATATGATTAGTGTTGATTAAGGCAGTCTCTTTGAAGTTATGTGAGACTGTCTCCTTCCTCTCCCCCTTCCTGCCACCCCCCTTATTTTACTGTTGATGAGAGAACATAGGGGTGGAGCCTCTCTAGATTAGTTTTAATATAATGTGTTTTAACTAAGGATGTTCTTTTTAAGTTGTATGGCTTGCGAACTAATGTTTAATTACTTTCATTAACTACAAGAAAGTCTCTTATGAAGAAGGTAATCATATTTTAAATATCTTAATGATCTTTAAAGTGCTGGAAGGAAAAGGATGTTCTTTTGAAATTGTTTGTCTTGTGAAATGGAGGTTTCTTTCTTAAGCTGTGTGAGACTGTTAACTAATGTTTAATTACTTTACTAACTATAAGGAAGTCTCTTTTATGAAGAGGGTAATAATAATTTTAAAGATCTTAATGACCCCCTGATCTTGTATTTGTAATGTGTAATTACTTCACACAACTTTAAAGAAGCCCCTATGAAGTTTATGTGAAGTTGTGTTGGGGTAATATTAGAATTAGCTGTATGCAGCAAAAAAAGAGAAGTTTTTTTAAAGTGTTTCTGTTGTCTGTACCAGGGGGGGTGATCAGAGCAGAAACAACTGTAAACACTTAAAATGCATAGAATTAAGAGTGTGGGGGAAATGAAATTATTCATTAGGCTTCGTCTACTGAAGATCAATGCAAGGGCAGAGTTTCACTCTGTGTGGAATCAACTGTAAACACTTAAAATGCATAGAATGATTCATTTCTGGACATACAAAGCTGCATATACCCCAGATCAATGCAGGGTGATATCACACCTACACAGAGAATGAGGGGGTAGAGTTTTCACTCTGGAGGAAACAAAAGAAGCACCCTAATGACTCGTTAACCACACCCAAAACACACTCTCTGGACATGGACAAAGGACTCTTTAAAGTAGAGACACTACATACTGATATACACCTGAACATCAGCAGGAGAGGACTCTTTAAAGTAGAGACACTACATACTGATATACACCTGAACATCAGCAGGAGAGGACTCTTTAAAGTAGAGACACTACATACTGATATACACCTGAACATCAGCAGGAGAGGACTCTTTAAAGTAGAGACACTACATACTGATATATACCTGAACATCAGCAGGAGAGGACTCTTTAATGTAGAGACACTACATACTGATATACACCTGAACATCAGCAGGAGAGGACTCTTTAAAGTAGAGACACTACATACTGATATACACCTGAACATCAGCAGGAGAGGACTCTTTAAAGTAGAGACACTACATACTGATATACACCTGAACATCATCAGGAGAGGACTCTTTAAAGTAGAGACACTACATACTGATATACACCTGAACATCAGCAGGAGAGGACTCTTTAAAGTAGAGACACTACATACTGATATACACCTGAACATCAGCAGGAGAGGACTCTTTAAAGTAAATACACTATAAGGTTAAAATAAGATATATATGTTTGGTTGTTTATGATGAACAGGGTCAAGGACTTTGGTGCTTCAAGTTAAGCTCCATTTTTTTTTTTTTTTATTGAAAAGGTATCTGCTCTTAGGCTAGCCCACACTAGTGCTACCCCAGATCCTGCTCCTTTTCTGTGCCCTGCTGTCCTCGACCACTTTGAGCCTGTATCCCTCTCTTCTCTCTCGGATGTAGTCAAGCACCTGCGGCCGACAAACTGCACCTCAGACAGCATTCCCGCTCGCCTTCTCAGAGATGTTTTTGATTCAGTTGGAGCAAGTATTTTATTACTTATAAATACCTCTCTTAGCTCAGGATGTGTCCCAGCTGCCTTCAAACATGCCGTGGTGCAGCCACTACTTAAAAAGAAAAATCTCGACCCCTCCATTCTCGCAAATTTTAGGCCCATCTCCCAGCTACCTTTTTTATCAAAAGCCCTGGAGCGAGTAGTCTACGCCCAGCTGCAGTCTTTTTTAACCACGCATGGAATCCATGAAAAGTTTCAGTCTGGCTTCAAACCCATGCACAGCACTGAAACAGCCCTTTTAAGAGTTTTTAATGATCTGCTCCTAGCCGCCGACTCAGGTAGCCCAGCTGTCTTGGTGCTGTTAGACCTGACAGCCGCCTTTGACACTGTGGACCATAGCATCCTGCTGTCACGGCTTGAACAGTCCGCTGGCATCACAGGCTCTGCCCTTGCATGGTTCAGGTCCTACCTGACAGACCGTAGCTTCTCGGTACAGCTAGGTGCCTTCTCCTCTGCCAAAGCCCCTCTTACCTGTGGGGTTCCCCAAGGCTCGATTCTGGGCCCCATCCTTTTTCTACTGTACATACTGCCCCTAGGTTCAATTCTCACTAAACATAATATTCCCTTCCACTGCTACGCTGACGATGTACAGATATATCTGCCTCTCAAAGCAAATGTCAAACACTCACTACAGCAGTTGATGGACTGCTTAACAGAGATAAAATCCTGGCTGAGCAAAAATGTTCTCAACCTCAACGAGAGCAAGTCCGAGGTAATCTTTTTTGGACCCCAACCTCCAGCCTCTCCGGTTGATATTCTGGGCTCTCTCAAAAAAAACATCCTCCCCTCTGTCATGAACCTTGGAGTGACCTTCACTAGCACTTTTAAATTCGACAAGCAGGTCAGCACTGTAGTCAAATCCTGCTTTTTTTAAATAAGACTATTGGCCAAAACCAAGTCGTATTTATCTTTTAATGAAAGGGTTATTAATGCCTTTGTAACCTCGAGACTGGACTACTGCAATGCTCTGTATGTGGGTATGGACCAGGCCTCAATTAAACGCCTGCAGCTAGTTCAGAACGCAGCTGCACGTCTTCTGACTGGCCACAAAAAGCGTGACCACATCACCCCAATTCTGGCCTCACTACACTGGCTTCCAGTTCGGTTCAGAATTGATTTTAAAATCCTTTTATTTGTTTTCAAAGCCCTAAATGGGCTGGCTCCGGCCTGTATAGCCGAACTCCTCCATCGCTACACCCCAGCCAGAGCTTTAAGGTCTGCTGACCAGCTGCTGCTGGTAGTGCCCAAGACCAGGCTCAAAACCCGAGGGCTCCGAGCCTTCGCAGCAGCTGGCCCCAGGCTCTGGAACACTCTGCCCCTCCATGTGAGGTCGGCCCAGACCCTAGGGGTTTTTAAATCTACACTAAAAACACACTTCTTCTCCCTGGCCTTCTAGTCAGAGCGGAGCACGACTCCTGACTTTTCCTTGTGTTTTATTTTTATTTTTTATATATATCTGTTGTAATTTATTGTCTTTTATTGTGATTGTAGTGTTTTTATTACATGTACAGCACTTTGGCTCGACCAAAAATCGCTTTTAAATGTGCTTTATAAATAAAACTTGATTTGATTTGAATTGAAGGACTTTGGTGCTTCAAGTTAAGCTCCATTTTTTCTTTTCTAGCTATTTAAAAAAAAACTTTTCACGATTTATTTTCTTGTGAAGATATAGAAAGAAAAATGTACAATCTTTTTTTTTTGTGTGTATCTACATGTTTGTAATGTGTATCTACATATTTTTTTAATGTGTATCTTATAATATATATATATATAAAAGAATACGTTTAAAAAGTATTTTCTCTGCCAGAAAAAACAAAGGTAATGCTAATTTGTTAAACTATCAGGATTAAACCGATTGGTTCTCAGTTTATTGAGCCATTGACCAGGCTATTGTTCTTTTGGTTTAAAAGGAGGTATAGTTTCACCATGAAGAGACACGTGACCATTCTGCCAGGAGATAATGAAGCAACAACACTGTAATTCCTCTCTGCGCTTTGTTGATATGGAGCTGGTCTGGAAGAACGCTGGTAAATACTTTTATTTTATAATATCATGTAATTATTAAATGTTGTATGTAGTGTGTTAAACAACCTCTGTGCATCTGTTGTATTTATTGTGTAACAGCACTATGGCTCATAATGGTTTAGAAGCTTTGGGAAAGTAGCCCTCTAAAATAATGTTTGACTTCACAGAACAAAGGGGGATTTTAGGTGTGTGTGTGTGTGTGTGTGTGTGTGTGTGTGTGTGTGTGTGTGTGTGTGTGTGTGTGTGTGTGTGTGTGTGTGTGTGTGTGTGTGTGCGTGTGCGTGTGCGTGTGTGAATTCAATTTTTTTTTGATGTATAGTATATTATTAGTTAATTAAATGGTATGTGTTTTGTGTTTTCTGTTTACAGAAGAGAGACTGCAGTATGATGGGGGCCCTATGACAGATCAGATGAGGCGAGCGTTATTTCAGGACTGTATGAACCAAATGAGAACTGCATTATTAAAGTGGGTTAACTCTCGTGGTGGAAGCCCTTGTGCGACAAGTGGGCCCCTCACCCACCATCCCTCAGAGAGTCAGAAGTCGACCATCCCAGTGAAATGCTGCACGAGTGTTTGTTGGAGATGCCAGAATAGGAAGCGGTAAAGAGACTGTGGACCGACCGCTTCCTTCCAGCCATTCGGGATTCTCTACTCGTGCAACCTTCATGTGTCGGAGAGGAGGATCTTTGGAGCGGCCGAGGCGATTCTTCACAATCTCAGAAACACAAGACGCTTTGAGGCTAAAATCAGCAAGCTTTACGAAAGGCTTGTTGACAACTACGAGACCCAGATGAAGAATATAACAGAAGCTTGGGACTTTTGGCAACGATAGGAAGAGTTTGATGTCTGATTTTTATTTTTTATTTTACTTGATCTCGTGTGCCCTTCTTAGCAATCATGTTTTTGATTTAAATTGTTTTTATTTTCTGTTTGGAAAAAATGTTTTTTTTAATCTGTTGTTGGAATATGTAACAAATCAATAAAATGTGTTGTAAGAAAACTGTTGTACTCATTGGGACGGTAACAGGGAACATGTCTGAGAAACGTGTCATGCAAAGGGTGTATTACACTCCTTCTAATCCAGGGAGTTTAGGGGGCGTTGATAAACTCCGTAGAGCTGTACAGAATGAAACGGGTAAACAAATAAATGTAGAGAAAGTCAGATTCTTTATCTGAACAGGATGTCTATACTTTGCATAAGCCGTCAAGGGTACATTTGGTAAGAAACAGAGTTTTCGTACTCAGACCGCTACAACAATTTCAAGCTGATCTTTGCGATATGCAGTCGTTATCCAAACATAATGATGGTTTTAATGATTTCTTAACAGTCATAGATGTATTTTCGAAAAAAGCCTATGCTCAGGCAATAAAGAAGAAGACTGGTATACCATTTTAACACACAGTCAGATTCCTAAAAAGATACAAACAGACGCAGGGAAAGAATTCTTTAACAATGTTTTTCAAGCCTTATTGAAGAAACGAGGTATTGCACATTATGCAACAGCCAGTGATATGAAGGCGTGTGTGGTAGAGAGATTTAACTGTACGCTGAAAACTAAAATGTGGAGGTATTTTACAGCTAAAAACACTCTTAGATACATAGACGTCTTGCCTGAACTAATTGAAAGTTACAATAATATTCAGGTGGGGGGGGGGGGTTACCTTAGTTGCTGATTGGCTAATGGTTACACAAGCCAAAAAAATCGTTATGACATCATAAAGTGGCCCAAATCTGATCAGCTCATTTTCAGACAGGTTTTTATATAAATGGATCAGGACAAAAAGAGAGAAAACTGAAACTTTCAGAGTCTCTTCACGCAGAGGGGACACATGTTGATGTAGAAGAGACATGAAGAAGAGGGGACACATGTTGATGTAGAAGAGACATGAAGAAGAGGGGACACATGTTGATGTAGAAGAGACATGAAGAAGAGGGGACACATGTTGATGTAGAAGAGACGTGAAGAAGAGGGGACACATGTTGATGTAGAAGAGACATGAAGAAGAGGGGGCACATGTTGATGTAGAAGATACATGAAGAAGAGGGGACACATGTTGATGTAGAAGAGACATGAAGAGGGGACACATGTTGATGTAGAAGAGACATGAAGAAGAGGGGACACATGTTGATGAAGAAGAGACATGAAGAAGAGGGGACACATGTTGATGTCGAAGAGACATGAAGAAGAGGGGACACATGTTGATGTAGAAGAGACATGAAGAAGAGGGGACACATGTTGATGTAAAAGAGACATGAGGAAGACCTTTAAGCACTTGAAACTGTATTTTACACGTGCATGCTGCAACATAAATTATATTTGTAATATAAGAAAAGTGTTTCTGTTGTCTGTACCAGGGGGGGTGATCAGAGCAGAAACAACTGTAAACACTTAAAATGCATAGAATTAAGAGTGTGGGGGAAATGAAATTATTCATTTCCAAACATACAAGGCTTCGTCTACTGAAGATCTTCTACTTTAAAGAGTCCTTTGTCCATGTCCAGAGAGTGTGTTTTGGGTGTGGTTAACGAGTCATTAGGGTGCTTCTTTTGTTTCCTCCAGAGTGAAAACTCGACCCCCTCATTCTCTCTGTAGGTGTGATATCACCCTGCATTGATCTGGGGTATATGCAGCTTTGTATGTCCAGAAATGAATAATTCTATGCATTTTAAGTGTTTACAGTTGATTCCACACAGAGTGAAACTCTGCCCTTGCATTGATCTTCAGTGGACGAAGCCTTGTATGTTTGGAAATGAATAATTTCATTTCCCCCACACTCTTAATTCTATGCATTTTAAGTGTTTACAGTTGTTTCTGCTCTGATCACCCCCCTGGTACAGACAACAGAAACGCTTTATAAAAACTTCTCTTTTTTTGCTGCATACAGCTAATTCTAATATTACCCCAACACAACTTCACATAAACTTCATAGGGGCTTCTTTAAAGTTGTGTGAAGTAATTAAACATTAAAAATACAAGATCAGGGGGTCATTAAGATCTTTAAAATTATTATTACCCTCTTCATAAAAGAGACTTCCTTCTAGTTAGTAAAGTAATTCAACATTAGTTAACAGTCTCACACAGCTTAAGAAAGAAACCTCCATTTCACAAAACAAACAATTTCAAAAGAACATCCTTTTCCTTCCAGCATTTTAAAGATCATTAAGATCTTTATAAATATGATTACCCTCTTCATAAGAGACTTTCTTGTAGTTAATAAAAGTAATTAATCCGCCTCTCCTGCTCACCCCCGCGTTAACCGCGTCATTGCTGATGCGTTTCGCCAACAACAAAAGCAATGGCGGATCACAGGGTTGCGTTCGTGCTCCAGACGCTACTGACCATGATACAGATTGTAGTGCTGTATGTACAGCTCCTCTACCACAACCATCAGCAACAATAATAATATAATAATAATTATAATCGTCATCGGTCTTATTCGCTGCTTTTGGTGTATGTTGTGGCGGAAGTACAGCGCCACTTACAGGCCCGGCTTTTACTATCTGTATTATTATTATTGCATTGTTGGAGAAGCCTGTGACCTAAGATTTTCAACGACATAATTATTCTGTAGCTATGTTAGTTTGACAATAAAGAACCTTGAACCTTGTACTACAGCGGGTCGAGCGGTCTCGTGTGGACGGACACGTTTCTTGAGCCGATTCCGTGTGGACGGAAGACTTTTTTGATATCGAATTCGGTTCGTATTCGTCTCCGTGTGGACGGGGCCTTAAACTGGGGTTTCCCGAGAATAGTATGTCAAAAAAGTCTTAGTATAGTATTTTTAGAATGCCAGCAAAAAACGACAATTGCAAAACCGACCCCTACATCCTCCCTGCAAACTTTTACTAGTGAACTGCCCAAAATAAGACAGTTTTATCATGCAGATGTTAGAAACTAGAAGATTCCATTGTATTTTAAGGATATAAACGTATACCCGTGTATAATCCAGAAAACAGTAGAAGTGTAGAAGACATTTGATTGTAAAGCTTTGTTTATTTACAGGGACTGTTGCAAGACCAAGAAGCTCATAAACATCACATTTAAAAACAGTACACAGGTTTCCAAAAAATAAGAAACGGGTGTGTGTGTGTGTGTGCGTGTGTGTGTGTGTGTGTGTGTGTGTGTGTGTGTGTGTGTGTGTGTGTGTGTGTGTGTGTGAGAGAGAGAGAGAGAGAGAGAGAGAGAGAGCGTGAGTATGTGTGTGAGAGAGTGTATGTGTGTGAGAGAGAGAGCAAGTGTGTGTGTGAGAGAGAGAAAGAGATATAGAGAGTGTGTGTGTGTGTGTGTGTGTGTGTGTGTGTGTGTGTGTGTGTGTGTGTGTGTGTGAGAGAGAGAGAGAGAGTGTGAGAGAGAGAGAGAGAGAGCGTGAGTATGTGTGTGAGAGAGTGTATGTGTGTGAGAGAGAGAGCAAGTGTGTGTGTGAGAGAGAGAAAGAGATATAGAGAGTGTGTGTGTGTGTGTGTGTGTGTGTGTGTGTGTGTGTGTGTGTGTGTGTGTGTGAGAGAGAGAGAGAGAGAGTGTGTGAGAGAGAGTGTGTGTGTGTGTGTGAGAGAGAGAGAGAGTGTGTGAGAGAGTGTGTAGGGGTCGGTTTGGAACTGGGCCGGTATGTTCTTTAGCTTTCACTCTTGGGTCGTACCAAGGAGAACCTTCTGGAGGGGTCTGGGACGAACCACTTCTCCCACAGGTCCAGGTGCACAGCAGGGTAGCTCCAGGGCTTAAAGGGGCCGTTCCAGTGCAGCAAGAGCGCCTCCTGCAGGAAACTCTCTGCATAACGGGCGTCTGGACTCCAGCCTGCACACACAGGAGAGATTTACGAGTTAAAACTGCATCATTTCACACTTATATCTTATTTTTAAATAAGATATACACCTGGAGTAAATTCACAAGCTACCCTGCAGTATACAAAGTCATTCAAACTAGCTGCACCTTTACCAGCTTTGAGAACACTTTCATGATCAATCATTATAAAACATATCATATATATTATTCTGAAATGGACCAATCTGCACAATGACTACTTTTACTGTCGCTACTTTAACTATATTTTGATGAGAATACTTTTATACTTTTACTTGAGGAACATTTTGAATGCAGGACTTTTACTGTAACAGAGTATTCCTACACTCTGGTACTTCTACTTTTACTCAAGTACAACATCTGAGTACTTCTACTTTTACTCAAGTACAACATCTGAGTACTTCTACTTTCACTCAAGTACAACATCTGAGTACTTCTCACACCTCTAAACACCTTAAATGTTGTTTCAAAAAGTGTGTTTTGTACATTTCCGATGCTAAGCTAGCTTCTGATTAGCACAGAGGATCTCACCCAGGTGTCTGACGTGCCACAGAGGGTCCAGTGTTGTGTATTTGTCGTGAAACACTATCAGCATGGGGGGGGGTCGCTACTCCTCCTGCCATGGCACTACTGTAGATGTTCTGCCTGGAGGACAGGAGGAAGAGGCGGAAACAACTCTTACAAATTTACATATATTACAAATATAATTTATGTTGCAGCATGCACGTGTAAAATACAGTTTCAAGTGCTTAAAGGTCACCTATTATTGTGCAAAATCCACTTTTTCATGTCTCTTCTACATCAACATGTGTCCCCTCTTCTTCATGTCTCTTCTACATCAACATGTGTCCCCTCTTCTTCATGTCTCTTCTACATCAACATGTGTCCCCTCTTCTTCATGTCTCTTCTACATCAACATGTGTCCCCTCTTCTTCATGTCTCTTCTGCATCAACATGTGTCCCCTCTTCTTCATGTCTCTTCTACATCAACATGTGTCCCCTCTTCTTCATGTCTCTTCTACATCAACATGTGTCCCCTCTTCTTCATGTCTCTTCTACATCAACATGTGTCCTCTCTTCTTCATGTCTCTTCTACATCAGCATGTGTCCCCTCTTCTTCATGTCTCTTCTACATCAACATGTGTCCCCTCTTCTCCATGTCTCTTCTACATCAACATGTGTCCCCTCTTCTTCATGTCTCTTCTTCATCAACATGTGTCCCCTCTTCTTCATGTCTCTTCTACATCAACATGTGTCCCCTCTTCTTCATGTCTCTTCTACATCAACATGTGTCCCCTCTTCTTCATGTCTCTTCTTCATCAACATGTGTCCCCTCTGTGGAAAGAGACTCTGAAAGTTTCAGGAACAAAGATTCTCTCTCTTTTTGTCCTGATCCATTTATATAAAAACCTGTCTGAAAATGAGCTGATCAGATTTTGGCCACTTTATGATGTCATAACGGTGTTTTGTCTTGTGTAACCATTAGCCAATCAGCAACCAAGGTAACCCCCCCCCCCCCCCCCCCCCACCTTATCACCTGAATCTCCTCCTAGAGCACCATTGAGTTCTTTGTAACCAAATCTCTCTCAGATGCCCCTTTCACACCGGCGCTTTTCCAGCTCCTGCTGGGAGCTAGAGCCTGAAAAGCGCCGGTTTTTCCTGTTCACACCGCAGCGGCGCCGCGTCATAGCTCCGGAATGCGGTTCACTTCCAGCTCCAAAAAATTGTCGGTCCAGAGGCAAGAGCTTCGGAGCTATGACGCGGCGTCGCTTACGTCTCTTACGTCGAGGCGTGCAGGAAACCTTACTTTGACCATCCGTTCGCTGTTATTGATCATTGTGGAGATACATGGACTGTACAGGTTGTCATGTCCGACTATCACAAGTAGAATCATAATGAAAAATACGCCGGTAAAAAGTGCCTGTAGAAAACGGTTTAGCAAGTAGTTAGTTTAGCTTCGGTTGCTATGCTAACATCACCCATGTTATACCAGAGAAACTTTCATAACAGCGTTGTGATGCCAAACAGCGTCAATTCAGACTGACACACATTCACTTAAGGGGAACTGGGGATATGTATCAGCTGCTTGTGTGACAGTCAGACAGTGAATACTTTAGAGCGGCCGCTGCCGTGTGAGCTAACCCGGAGCTAACGGGAGAATAAACTCCCGTGGAAGTGCAGCCAGCACTGCAGCGGTCGGTAAATGCCGCTGAAACACATTAATAAACAATGAACCACGGCACTCTGGAGAAAAGTATAAGGTTGGAGAAGTCGATATTTAATTTAATCTGGCTTCGTATGATTAAAAGCAACACGATCATCGACCCGACGCAGTCCCCGGCCCGTTGTTGTTGTGGGAGAAAATCAGCGACGTAAACTGTGACGTCATGACGCAGCAGCGGCAGCTCTGGGCGGTGTGAACAGAGCGGGAGCTGAAAAGGGAAACCGGAGCTGAACCAGAAAAGCTCTCGCTAGGGAAAAGCGCTGGTGTGAAAGCCGCATCAGAGGGGCGTGGGGAGTGGCTCCTTATTTTCATCTAAAGTAACAGACAGAGAATCAGCACTTTGGAAACAGGGCTGAAACAGAGGGGATTATGGGATGCTGCAATGATCTGTTTGGTGTTTCAGCCAATCAGAGACAGGTTCTGTATATATCTGAGAGCTATAATATATTGATGAAAAACAGTATAATAGGGGACCTTTAAGAAAATCTAATCAGTAGCCTAATCTGAGTACCAGAATGTAACATCCCAGATCTCACCGTGTTCCAATCACAAATCAAAACTCACCTCTTCAGCACTGCTTTTAATCAGTAATGAATATTGTGTTTTATATATTTTAAGTGTGTTGTTTTAACTATGTTTTTATGAATTTTTACTCGTGGTTAAAAGTCTCCAGAGCTTCCTCTTTAAACCCCATATGTGAAAAAAAAAAATGCTACGTAAGCGTTTCCAGAACTGCTCTCGGTGCATACCTGAAATTCTCCTCCATCCACTTCTCCAGCTGTTTGGTGATCTTCTGTTTCTTCCACTCGCTGATATCGGCCACAAACACTCCGGGGTTGAAGGAGCACTCTCTGGGGTTGATGCCCAAATCTCTCACTTCCTGTTTCCTGTAGTCCAGGAAGCCCATATATGTTGTCTAAAGAGGAAAAGCTCAGAGAAGAGGACGCAGACATTTAATATTGAAATGCAGAGGTGGGAAGTAACTAAGTACATTTACTCAAGTACTGTACTTAAGAACACTTTTGAGGTGCTTTACTTGAGTATTTCCATTTTTTGCTACTGTGTACTTTTACTCCACTACATGTATAAATTCACAAGCTACCCTGCAGTATACAAAGCCATTCAAACTAGCTGCACCTTTACCAGCTTTGAGAACACTTTCATGATCAATCATTATAAAACATATCATATATATTATTCTGAAATGGACCAATCTGCACAATGACTACTTTTACTGTCACTACTTTAACTATATTTTGATGATAATACTTTTCTACTTTTACTTGAGGAACATTTTGAATGCAGGACTTTTACTGTAACAGAGTATTCCTACACTCTGGTACTTCTACTTTTACTCAAGTACAAGATCTGAGTACTTCTACTTTTACTCAAGTACAAGATCTGAGTACTTCTACTTTTACTCAAGTACAAGATCTGAGTACTTCTAATCTGTTTCTACTTACTCAAGTACAAGATCTGAGTACTTCTACTTTTACTCAAGTACAAGATCTGAGTACTTCTACTTTTACTCAAGTACAAGATCTGAGTACTTCTACTTTTACTCAAGTACAAGATCTGAGTACTTCTACTTTTACTCAAGTACAAGATCTGAGTATTTCTACTTTT